CCCCCCCCCCCCCCCCCCCCCCCAAGTAGATCCGGCCATGGACACAGAGTCCCAAGCCCCGAGGCCATACCACCCCCCAGCAGAGCCAGGGCACCCAGGCCCCGCCAGGCAGCAACCAGGGCGGACCGACGTACATCCCACCACCCAACCCAGACGCCGAGAGCCACCAATACACTGGCAGCAAGGGGGCCCCCTGCCAAAGGGGGGCACGACCGGGGGGAGTGGGCCCCACACCAAACGTGGGGCCCAAATTGATCCAAGAGAGGGGGGACCACCAAAAACCCAACCTGAGCAACAAACAGGCACACACAGATAGCCCGACAGAATCTCTGTCGGGCCGACCGCATGCACCATCTACCTGACAGCGACCACAGGCCGGCCCCAGCCCAAGGGGCAGAGCAGCAGGGAGCTGCAGCCGAGGAGGGCTGGCTCCCACATCAAGAGCTCTGCACCATAGGCCCGGAGACACCCCAGCACGCCACCTATGCACCCCCCCCACACACAGCACCCCCACCGCAAATGCCACACAGGAAGACCAGCCAGTGCCCTGATGAGGCGAAGCCACGCCCCCAACCGCCGCCCTACACCACCAATGACCACACGTACACTACCATTGCCGACCCCCCGCCGAAAGCCGGCAGCCACCCCGGTCAAAGTGCCGGCCATCGCATCCAGGAACCTAGATTAAAAGAATCGGAACAGCCCAGGGGGAGCCAAAGCACCGGCCCCATCACCAACCGCCCCCAAGGCCCAGACCCCAACAATGCGCCCCCCCTCCATCCCCGACCCCTAGTGTCACACGGAGAAAGGTGTTTGTGAAAGAAAAAAAAAAAATCTATACATGCATAAATAAATGAACAGACCCACTTCCTTCTCCTCCCACTCGAATATGGTGTTGATGCATGTTGTTATACAGTGCATTTAAAATGGGGGGATGAGGTGGCGACCGGCACAAACCCACCTCTTACCCAGAGAGCAGGCGGCGCCCGTTCACCCCTCATCTCCGCCCAGAACCCTAAATGTCTACATGCTACATATGAGAGTGGGCACAGGTCCAGGAGGTGGAAATGATTGTACATCCTACCACCTAAGTGCGACCATGTGCCCACTCCAGAGTCTATATATGCATGTGTCATGAGAGTGTTATAAGTGAGTGTCTAGGTTGTATATTAAAATTAGGACCCAGGACCCCACCAGCCACGGAGATGGATGATTCTCCCCGTAGCTCAGTAGTGCACCTGAACCCCAAAACCCTGTTTGAGTGATGGTGTGATGGAGTGGGCGGAGGAGGATGTCGGGATGGGGAGGTGAACTGAGGTGGCAATGCCCCCCCAGGGGACCAGCTCCCCCACTGACCCCAATAGGCACCCCCACTCTCCGAGATCCACCAGGGGAGAGAGGCTCTAACAGAGATACCTAGGGGGAGGTGGCAGCCGCACCACCAGGGATCAAGGCCACGGACCGGCACATAGCCCCCGAGGACCAACCAGAACCAGGGCCAGCAACCCAGACCCATCCCGAAACTGTCCAGACGCCCCAACCCGATTCCCAGCCCAACACCCAGCCCCCCAACCAGAGAGGCCACCAAACTCCAATCGGGACAATCAGCCAGGAGTGCCCAAACAGTCAGAGATAGAGCACCACAGCGACCAAGAGCGCCCCCCCGTCCCAAAAAAGCAAAAGACCAGTCCACCCATAACACCCACAGCGAGAGCGCCCCATGCAAGTGAGGGCACACACCCAGCGAGCCCAGACTCCCCCGGTCCCACAGCACAGAGCCCCCCAC